TACGCATGCAAAAGATTTCTTGGTGTTAAACATAGTACGTCTAACGTAATGGTTTATGGTGAATGTGGTAGCATGCCCTTGTATATATATCACTACTTAAAAATCATAAGATATTGGTTAAAATTACTAAAAATGCCAGTAAGTAGATTGCCAAAAACATGTTATATTATGATGCTATTGTATGAAAAGAATGGAGATCAAAATTGGGCATACAATGTTAAATGTCTACTGTATAAATGTGGGTATGGTTACATCTGGGACAACCAATGTTTCGTAGAGAATCATGCCGTGTTCATATCGAAAATAAGGCAGACGCTTTTTGACATGTACTCTCAAACATGGAGATCTACTGTAGATGTTTCTAGCAAATGCGAATATTATAGATATTTTAAAAAGCAAATATGCGCAGAAAAATATTTAACTGATGTAAATATAAGAAAATGCAGAATATCATTAACACAATTTAGATGCAGCTTACACAGGTTAATGGTTTAAGTTGGCAGGCGCTTAGAAATTTAACATGGAAATTGAGACCTAATAGATGTATAGCGAGAGCAGCGAACGAGGACCCGAGCTTCGTATTTAAGTCCTGGATGGTCGAGTTTCATGTTGGCTGTTCCCCAGGGATGCTGCTGTTTCTGCTTCAGTCTCGAAGTTGGGATTTAGTTTATTAATTTGGACCGAGGTTATAGATGTTTCTAATTTATAAGTGTTTCCACTTTGCCCGGAGGACTTGCGAAAACTACTTTCAGGGTGACGATAAGGTACCCGATTTGTAGATGTTAAGATGCAATACAATGACGTCATCGATGCGGTATAGCGCGTGAATGTCTTAAGAAATCATTCCTTATACTCCTCTTGTATCCCCCTCCCCTATCCCCCCATCTCTCTCCCCGGCGTTCCGCCCCATTAGTCCAGATTGCACATTGGAAACCGCTTATAGATCACGTGGTCCTTGTGAAGATTCTCTGATGGACGGCCTGCTGAGACATCGATGGCGTCATTAACTTCAAATTTTAAGAAGAAAACGTGATTACAGTGAGAGCGGCACTAAACATCTGCACCGGTGCGTTACTGCGGGGTCGAAAGGTCAGCCATATTGCACCACTCTCTGACCGCCGTTCTTTGTCCGGGACTGACCGTGATCGGTCTTCACACCCCCTGATACCCGGTCATCGTGACATCCCCTTGCGGCGGCGTTACACGGCACAGACATCGTCACAGGCAACCCGGTCTCACCGGGAGATGGGGGAGGTTGCAACACTAAGTAACGTTTAGATTGGATTGTTTGTTTGTTTGTTTGTTGTTTAACACCGCACTCAGCAATACTCCAGCTATTTGACGGCGGTCTGTAAATAATCAAGTCTGGACATGGATGTTGGACAATCCAGTGATTGACATCATGAGCATCGATCAACGCAATTAGGATACGATGACATGCATCAACCAAGTCAGCGAGTTTGACAACCTGATCCCAGTAGTAGCCTCTTACGACATAGTCGCCTTTTACGACAAGAATGGGTTGCTGAAGACCTATTCTAACCCGGAATACAATCCATTACAGAACTGATGCAATGTACAAGACGCACACTAACGCATCAGATTTGAATACATACATCTTATTAAGGATGAACTTAAGCGTACCTCTTATCAGTAAGCTGCGTGGATCACAGATTATGCTTAACAAGGTGACGCCTCAGCGGCCATGATCTTCCCACTGAAAGGGGCAGGTACACCCCTCCTGCTGAACAAAGATTCTGTCACCTCTGCAACAAACATCATATAGAAGATGAAATTCACTTTCCTTCTTCCCCTTTACCTCTCTGAAAGAAAATTACTACTGCAGATAATTAATGCTGACAACTTAAAGGACGAAGCCAAAACTGTGGCAATGATACTAAATCCTAGCCATGTCACTGCCAACATATCTGCCTTCATTCATACATAACCTGTGGGTACTCAGTTCCTGTAAATGCTGTCATTAACCCACATATTTACTGTATGCTTTTATGTTAGTCTTACTATGTTGGTTTTCTGTGCAACATGCTGTATTTGTAGTATAGATTGGTACCTGCCCCTTGAATAAATATCTTGAATCTCAAATCTTGAATCTTACAAGACGAGGAGAGAGCAGAATAAAGTAATCCATGAACTTTACAATGGGTAAATTGATGTGTCATGATCTATGTTGTGGGGTGGGGAATGATGACTATGTAGGTGTGTTATTTTTTTGTTTGTTGTGTTTTTGTTGTTGTTGTTTTTGTGAGGGGGGGTATATTTTGTTAGTGTTTTATTATATGTTTGTGCGTGGTTTTGGAGAGGGATTGTTGGTAGGGGGTCCCACCACGCCGGGGTGAGGGAGGGGACAGAACGCCAGCTGCCCGCTTGAGGCTGCGCTGCATTACATTCCTCATCATTTTCCGCTCGACATGTCATATTCATTATAAAACAATTTAGTTTTCTGTGAGTCAATAGCTTCTTTGAGGTGTACAATGCCAGGCCAAGTCGGCCGCTCGCGCGTCAATGCTGTCAAACACACCGACTAATGGTGCCGTTTACAATGTTTTTTCTGCTCTCTTGTTCCCAGTTATGGCTGTATTATTTTGTGTCCACGCCGCGGGATTTGATTTAAAGGCGCACGTGCCACGTTTATTGAAAGTTCACGTGCAAGTGTGTACCAGGGTAAGAAAGAAGTAAATAGGTATTGTTCTGAAGGCGCTGGGGTCCGGCTTGTGCCCACGGGTCACGTGACCCGGGGTCAGGCAGCTCCCTCCCCGCAGGTAATTAGTTTACTGTAGAACAATGAGGGTGATATATAAACAGGTGAGTGGGAGGCAGCAGGGGAGGGGGAGAGGTGGTGGGGTGGGTAGCCGTGCGTTTTGGTCTTGAGGTGGCAAGAACATTAATTTATTACTTTTTATGAAGACTTAAATTGGTATTTGCCTTCCATTAGGGCCTAGGGCATCCTGTTGCTTTGTGTAGAGCTCCCGCAGTCTGACAGTCGGAAACTGAAGACATTACTGACGAAGTATTCCATATGAACTCATTTGATTGCAGTGAACATGTAATTTGCCCTCAACTGTAAAACAGGAACACTCACCAAAACAACTCTTCAAGTGTTCAACAATGAACAAAAAATAAACAAACCTTTTAGGAAATATGGACCCAAATACGTGAATACTGTAGTTTGTCTAGGAATAAAGTCAAAGGTTGACCACAAGGAACTCTAGGTATAAGAGTGGCTACGACACATACATACGGAAATGCTTCGACTGTCGTAACTCCCATACTTTAACATAGACTTTCGGATGTGCTTCGACTGTCGTAACTCCCATACTTTAACATAGACTTTCGGATGTGCTTCGGCTGTAGTAAGTAGTGTACCCAGTCACCATTGCGTCTTTTTCAAAGATTGCGGCACTTCCGGTTCGGGTGCATGCTTGGATACACCGCAACCGAAAGTGCCACTATCTTGGAAAAAGACGCCCTATCACGACAAGATGACGGCACGTCCGGTCACGATGCGGCGCCATCTTGAAGGGATATCGCCGGAAGCGACGGAATCACGTCGGAAGTGACGGGAACTCGCCGGACGGGACGGGATTAGGTTGGGGCGCATGCGCATGCGCAGAGAGAGGGAGGCGGGTAATGTCGGTCGGTGTGGGGCGATACGGAGAGATGGATTGGCGAGCTGGATAAAAAACAAACACTGCAGTGAACATATCACTTTGACGGAATTATTGTCATACAAGAGTTATCTCCACTTAAATTGTCTCCCTTTGTCGTAAGTGACGAGCCCGTACACAAACAGTTGACGTTCTTTTTGCGCTAGGTCCACATTGGCAAGGCAAAATAATGACAGACGGTCGTTTATGGAGTTAATATCACTTTTTTACCGTTTGTTATTCTCTCGAAAATGTTTCCTTATAAACTGTAAATGTCTCATTTAACTCATCAATCGAGACTATTCGTTTCGCAAAGCGCCATTTTTGTTACTTGACCAGCGTATATTCTTTCGCTTCCAACAGCGGTCTCCTCGTTTTCAAGAATATTTTTTGTTAAAGTTGATTTTGTATATAATCAATGTATGATAAAGAATTTTCGTGACCCTAAATATTTTTTGATACTTTTGTATATATTTTTTAAGATTTTGTAATCACGAAACAACTTTGTAAGTCGCAAATACAAGGGGTGGTGAACTGTCCTTGTGAGTCTGTTAGGGAGAATTTACATTTCAAATTTTTACATTTGTTATGAAATATTTTCATTTTCTGGTAGACAACTACACAAAAAGTATATAATAAATAGGAGATTCCATGTGTCGAGTGAAATATGTTTTTCTCATCTCGTGAGTAGCTCTCTATATAGCTTGTTCATAACGTTATCGGCGCCATCACGTCATGCCAATAACGCCATCACCTCACGTTACGTCATAGAGTCCTATATAAACCCGGCTAAGGCTGGCCTTGTCGGTTGCAGCCAGGCCGTCTCCAGCAGGAAGCAGAAAAATGGAAGAAAAAGTTGAAGAGGACCCAGTGCTGTACTAGAGCGGACCAGCAAAGTAACAGCGACTTGCATGTGGATGAAGAAATGTAGATCAACTTATTTCATGGAGAAGATCCAGACCATATAGGAGAGGGGCATGGGCGACCAAGTAATATTCCAGGGTTGACTTCCTTCCTGAAAAGAAACAATGCATTGTACAAATCAAGAATGAAGAGCACCTCTGCTTTTCACGGGCTCTGGTGGTTGGCGGTCATCATGCACACAAACCCGATCCTGTGACGCCAGAATGCACCAAAGAATGGAAATACTTACGTGACCATCATACACCAGCACAGCACAATGCGACCAAGGACTTATCTCGTCATTTGAACATCCCAGAAGGTCCTTGTACAGGTTGTGCCACGTGGGATCAATTTGTTCAGCGTTTGTCTCCATACTAGCAGCTGAAGCTTTTTTTTACCAAGATGTACTGAATCATCTCCTGTACAAAAGTGATGTACCTCATCCTACCAGGCTCCTCCACTTGTACCATCACGACCATACCAGCCTTTACCATCACGACCATACCAGCCTTTACCATCACGACCATACCAGCCTTTACCATCACGACCATACCAGCCTTTACCATCACGACCATACCAGCCTTTACCATCACGACCATACCAGCCTTTACCATCACGACCATACCAGCCTTTACCATCACGACCATACCAGCCTTTACCATCACGACCATACCAGCCTTTACCATCACGACCATACCAGCCTTTACCATCACGACCATACCAGCCTTTACCATCACGACCATACCAGCCTTTACCATCACGACCATACCAGCCTTTACCATCACGACCATACCAGCCTTTACCATCACGACCATACCAGCCTTTACCATCACGACCATACCAGCATTTACCATCACGACCATACCAGCCTTTACCATCACGACCATACCAGCCTTTACCATCACGACCATACCAGCCTTTACCATCACGACCATACCAGCCTCTACCATCACGACCATACCAGCCTTTACCATCACGACCATACCAGCCTTTACCATCACGACCATACCAGCCTTTACCATCACGACCATACCAGCCTTTACCATCACGACCATACCAGCCTTTACCATCACGACCATACCAGCCTTTACCATCACGACCATACCAGCCTTTACCATCACGACCATACCAGCCTTTACCATCACGACAATACCAGCCTTTACCATCACGACCATACCAGCCTTTACCATCACGACCATACCAGCCTCTACCATCACGACCATACCAGCCTTTACCATCACGACCATACCAGCCTCTACCATCACGACCATACCAGCCTCTACCATCACGACCATACCAGCCTTTACCATCACGACCATACCAGCCTTTACCATCACGACCATACCAGCCTCTACCATCACGACCATACCAGCCTCTACCATCACGACCATACCAGCATTTACCATCACGACCATACCAGCATTTACCATCACGACCATACCAGCCTTTACCATCACGACCATACCAGCCTTTACCATCACGACCATACCAGCCTCTACCATCACGACCATACCAGCCTTTACCATCACGACCATACCAGCCTTTACCATCACGACCATACCAGCCTTTACCATCACGACCATACCAGCCTCTACCATCACGACCATACCAGCATTTACCATCACGACCATACCAGCATTTACCATCACGACCATACCAGCCTTTACCATCACGACCATACCAGCATTTACCATCACGACCATACCAGCCTTTACCATCACGACCATACCAGCCTTTACCATCACGACCATACCAGCCTTTACCATCACGACCATACCAGCCTCTACCATCACGACCATACCAGCCTCTACCATCACGACCATACCAGCCTTTACCATCAAGACCATACCAGCCTTTACATAACGTGCTTATTATTGTGAAGCTTGTGACAAAGGATTCGACAAAGCTGAAGATCACCCCTGCACACGAGAGTTTTGCTGTGACGGGAGTCGACGTCCTGGATCCTGTGGAGATGTGATGAATGAAAGGCTTTTCTGCCTAAAGTGCCGATGTTGGTTTCGAAACCTTCACTGTTTCCAGCGCCACTTGACTGTGTATGACGGGCATCTGTTCCACAAGTCAAACCCGCAGTCGATGGGCTATAGTCGACCTGAAACCTAACCACAGCATGGACAACCACATCCGTGGTATGGGTCAAGGCTGCAAGATTTGTAAAGAGCCCATGCATGGCCCCCAACCACCAGTGGTACACGTCAGTTATCACTCCAAGCACCGAAGACGATGTAGACAAAGAACGACAGCAAGTCCAGTTTGTCTGCTATGACCGAGGTAGACATGTTCCCAACTTCTGTGTTGTGTCTGGAGTGCGGAAAATGCATTGCTGAGTCCCCTGACCGATGTTGTGAGAACTGCCCGTGTTACAAGGAAGGGCAAGGGCAAGCCGTGGTCAAGATGTTGAAGGGTCCACTACACTAAATGACATGGGGATTGGCTGATGAGTCTTGCAGAAAAAGAGGAACCAAAACAGAAACGCAAGGCACTCCTGCAGTCAGGCACGGCATCCAAGCAAGCCTGTCAAGATAATGAATATGCCAAAACCACGAGATGAGGATGAAGAGGATGAAGAAGAACCAGAAGATGACAAAGGCATCTCACCTACTCTTGACGATGACATTGTGGTGACTGCCCACAACGACCATGGTTGTGATGGACACCTGCAACTACAGTATCTGCACCAGCATCTGGTCAAACCACCACAAATCATCCTCCGAGGACTGCACATGTTACAGATGGTCGTGGGACGATTCATCTTCCAAGATTCACTGAGATTCTTGACCATGACTGTGAAGCAATTTCCAATTATTTTAGCACTGAGTGAACTCAAGAAAGGCTTATTCCCTCACTTCTTCAACACGGAAGTTCACCAAGGTTATGTGGGTCCTTATCTCCCTGACCGCCTCCGTGGTCTAGTGGTAGAGCGTCCGCCCGGAGAACGGAAGGTCCGGGGTTTGATACCAAAAGAAGTTAAAAGATGGTACTTGTCTGGCGCTCGACATTAAGGGGCTAAAACAAGGACTGGTCGGCTCGGAGTCAGTATACTGTGTCTGAGTGGGGTATTCATGTTAAACTGCGGCATGGTATCTCAGTGAGCTAGCACTATAAATCGGCATCAGTCCGGACTAGTACAAGCAGCCACACAAACACACACACGTACATGCACGTCACTATATAAGTGCAATAATCTTGGACGTGACGTTAAACCCCATTTCAACTCACCTCCCCTTATCTCCCTGTCTCTACTTACGATCCTGATGGCATGTTTCCTGCTGAACGTAAAGCTTTCTTGACCCGCTGTGAAGCAGGTGTTGCTGTCTTTGATCTGGATGAAGAATTTTTCATCGAGGGTGTGCTACATTCCGCAATATATTCCTCCAACAGAACAGCGTGGACCCTTTTCATGCAGGGTTGACTCTACCCATGGTCTGCATGCTGACCTTTCGAAAACAGTTTTTGAACCAAAGACCGCAGTGTCGTTACCGCCTTCAGTGTCTCCATTGGCTCAACTGGGTTATGCATCAACATCCTGACCTGTACATACAGCATGCCTGTAACGGCGGTGAAGTTGGCTTTAATTGTGCTGATGGCAGTCGGTACATGGTGGACGGCAACGATTCCACGACACACACTGTGTATGAATACTTGGGCAGTTTCTGGCATGGATGTTCTCCAGTGTCTGCGCTGTCTGAGCTTCACCGTCTCAAAAGAATGCATGAAACACATCCTCGAAGCTATCTACTTCTTATTGTTCTTTTATCCAACTCGCCACTCCATCTATCGTCCCCTCCCCGCCCAGTCCCTCACATCACCCGCCACCTAGCCTCCTTCCCCTCTCCTCCGCGCATGCACCCAAACCTAATCCCGTCCCGTCCCCCGAGATCCTGTCACTTCAGGCGAGATCCCGTCAATATGGCGCCACATCCGGTCACGTGACCGGACGTGCCTCTATCTTGCCGTGATATGGCGTCTTTTTTCAAGATGGTGGCACTTTTGGTTTAAGTGTATTCCAGCGTGCACCGAAACCGGAAGTGCCGCCATCCTGGAAAAAGTCGCGAGCGTGACGGGGTACACTACTATTATAAGTCCCATACATGAACAGTCATCCTACAGATACACCTGCTGCTACATAGTCTAAACTATATATTCAGTCAGCATACAGTGATAAAGGTTAACTGTGACCTACATGCATGTTGTTACAGCGGACGAGATTATGTCCACAAGTCTACATGGCATTCTATTGGGAAGTCATAAATAATAGTTTGGTGCCGACTGCAAAAACTGTTGCTTTAACTATCTTTTAAACTTGCCTTTTACTTAAGACTTCGGAATACTAGTCTACTTAGTAAAAAACAACATGTCTTTCTAGTCTTTGTATTTTGTAAAGCTATTGAACGGTTATCTGACCAATCTTCAAGAGCAATGTCTGCTATTTTTAGTGAGTGAGTGAGTATGGTTTTACGCCGCTTGTAGCAATATTCAAGCAATATCACGGCGGGGACACCAGAAATAGGCTTCACACATTGTACCCATGTGGGGAATCGAACCCGGGTTTTCGGCGTGACGAGCGAACGCTTTAACCACTAGACCTCCCCAACGCCCCTGCCATTTTGAGAAAATACGATTGTTAGAAGTAAAAAATGACCGTCAACTGAAATTATTTGACAATCCTCTTCAACCCACATTGATGTATGGATCCGAGGCCTGAAGTTTCGATATATACTGTTATATTGGTTAATTTAAGATATTGTAATATACTATGCAAAAGCAAAGAAACGAAAAAGTAGTAATATCGTAAATATCTGAAATAATCGACATCCAAACAAAATTAATACAAAATATGAATTGGTCATTTCTGCATAGACTGGTGTTGATTTGTGTGGAAAGAATGAGGTACTGCAGAAAAGTTGGTGAAAAGATGGAAAAATCGCACAAACACAACCACATGAGGTGAGGTGAAATGGGGTTTAACGTCGCGTCCAAGATTATTGCACTTATATAGCGACGTGCATAGACGCGCGTGTGTGTGCGTGGCTGCTTGTACTGGTCCGGACTGATGCCGATTTATAGGGTAACAACAAGTACATCTTTTTACGTCCTTTGCTATGACACGACCGGGGAACGAACTCCCGACCTTCCGCTCTCTGACGCACTACCACTAGACCACGTACGCGGTCCAACCATATGAGACCATACAACCATATATTGTAGTGGCGTGATGTGGGCAGCCATCTCCTAGACTGGTAGAATTTTGAGGAATTTAACGGCACAACGTTACACGGATGAGATTTTTCGACCAAACGTCCTTCCCATTATGCAGCAAGCGAACGTCATTTCCAACAAGACAACGCCCGACCTCACACGGCAAGGCGGATGAAAGCCTTTTTCAGCAATCACAACATCCTGGTCCTGGCATGACTCTCCAGGTCTCCAGATTTAAACCTAATCGAACATTTATGGGATACACTGGATCAACGACTGCGAGCGCGGCAGCAACAACCGCAGAACCTCCGACAGTTGGCACCAGCACTGCAGGCAGAGTGGGGGAACATTCCCCAGGCCACAAATCGGGATCTGATTGCTTCCATGAGACGACGATGCCAGTCAGTTTTGGTCTATAATGGCGGCCATACAAGTTATTGAGAACAGATGACCTTCACCTTGAAAATCTACTGTTCCATGTGTGCCACATGGAACCTCGGTCAAAGACAACGTTGTGTGCCAATTTTGAACAATCGATTACCATCTGTTGAAAATTAATATGATATATAAAATATAATCCTAAATCACTTTTGCGTTTCGTGTTTTTGCAGAGTATATTGTTTGAAGGTTAGGCATGTTGATTTCATGTTGTACGGGGAGTTGGAAAGATCTCCACTAAAGTGTTTTTTTACGTTTAGAATGGCATCATACTGGTGTGAGTTAGGTCTATCAGGTATTATGTACAGACTACTAATTGTCCAACAGAGTTTAAGTTCCCTCTTGCTCATGAAGTTCAGCGTATTTCACAATGTACAGGTCTGATCACATTTAGTTCATGAACAGGACAGTAAGTGGTGATTCTACAAGGACATGATCTGTAGAACCCCTTAATGGAAGATTGTTTACTGTGTTTACTTCTTAACTTACTCATTTAGAACCTCCAACCTCTACCCCATTTGAAACTGGTTGATGGTTTACTGTCAATACGGAAGACAGGTCTTTGCTCACTTTGTAAAATTAATGTTGGTGATGTCTTCCACTATATATCAGAACGCCGTGAATTGGATCATTTAAGAAATATACATTTTCCATCATATTATGGTAGATATCCAAATACTGAACAATGTATTTCACTTGCATCATGCCGTTATACACCACTACATGTGGACTGCGCATGCCCCACTACCTATTGTCTCAGTACTGTGTGTATGTAGGTTTTACACAGGACACACACACACACACACACACACGCACACACACACACACGCACACTCACACACCACACACACACACACACACACCACACACACACACTCACACAAAGGCACACACAAAGATGAGAGTCAGACACACACAGAGACACCACGCACACAGGCACACTCACAGAGGCCCAGACACCCACACACAGTGGCACACACAGTGGCACACACACACACAGTGGCACACACACACACACACACACACACACACACACACACACACGCACACTCACACACGCACACTCACACAAAGGCACACACAAAGATGAGAGTCAGACACACACAGAGACACCACGCACACAGGCACACTCACAGAGGCACAGACACCCCACATTACATATTTTTTGTATTTTGTAGATATATTTTTAAATAAGATAACTCTGTTTC